CCTGGAGAAACGGCTGTTTCCATCAGGTGAGTCTGCAGGTAACTCAGTTTTTGTTAAGGATGACGAAGGCTATTTGAATAATACATTTGTGTCTGTTGTTCTCAGTGTACACACTGTGGCGGTATCCCACCATGCTTCCAGCATTTGCCACGTGGCCGCCTGTCCTGCAGAAGTTAACTGGTGGAGCAGGTCAGCACCTGTTTGTTAGTATTCATCTATGTGTCTCAGAAAACACGTCTGACTGATTTCTCCCCTGCAGATCTCATGTTGCCGGGTGTAGTGGTAGCTGCTGATGGCCTTCCTGAAGTAGAGCAAGGAGACTGCTGTGCCGTCACTCTTGTGATGAACAGGTAACGCTGCCCACCACGTTTCTTGCTTACAGATGGTTCATCTTGAGTCATGTGAAACTAAAACTGATACCACAACTGGACAAAGATTTGCAACTTTTGTTATAACTTCAAAAATTGTAAACTGGAGTTGGCAGTTTTTACTAATCAGCATCAGTGACGTCTCTAACACTCTGAATTATGTTGAGCTGTGGAGCCCATGTGGACAACGCAAGGTTGAGTCCATTTTATGTGATCTCCTGAACCTATTCCCTCCTATCTCTCTACGATTGTATAAACAAAAGTGACCAAAAATGCCTAATATGAAATTAGGCCAAAAAATACATTTAACTTTATAAAGCATACTGTATCATATTTGTTATGCAAATTAGGCCTTCAAATGATCAACATGTATAAAACTTTGCTGAAAAACCTGTTATATACAATCTATTTTATATAATCTATTACATGCCTTCTGTCAAGTGATCGATAGTTTATACTTTTTAGCAAATAAAATAATTATAAAAAATGCCCCCTTTCAAGTTGTGGTGCATGTGTCTTTTTTCTGTGAAATCTTACCGATTTTTACTTTTTAACTTGCTAGTAATATTTCAAGATTTTATTTTATTTTTTAAATCATGTTAAATATTATACATCATAATACATATACACGTTATACATTACACGTATTGTACAGCTATTGAGGAACGTTTATTTAGTTTGGGCCTTTGAATAAAATGGAGAACTTTTTTCCTTCTGGAGTATAAGTGCCATATTCTCATATATCATACTAAATGAGCCATAAGCCTGATGTATCAGATATGATATCCAACAAAAACACATGCTTTTTAATATTTTATCTAAAGGTCTCATTTAAAGAAGTTAGATTTTTCTGAGCATGATTTCATGTGTCAGACTCTACAGGATTAAAAATGTCCTATGGTTCCATTAGTCATTTATGGATTTTTGATTTCTGCACCTTTTTTAAATTAAGTAGTAAGTTTTTCAAATGGATTATGTATTTATTAGACTAAAACAAACAAACAATGAGCATGTTTACATGCACACCCATATGCTAATAACTACCAAAAAACAGCTTTTTGAAATAATTGTTATAACGACTAACAGTCATTGGGTACAATACATTTCCTTCTCCCTCTCGCAGTGTCACTCTAGTTAAATGCTCTTCTATCCACAGGATGCTTTCCTGTCTCGTAGTCAGACATGCACACTTAAATAAGCTGAAATAATGTGTTTATGGTGTTTACATGATGAAATCGATACAGCAAAACAGTTGAACACATTTACGTGACCACGCACGTTGTCAGCTTAAGCATAATTGGTTTATGAAATAGCTTGTATTGTAAACATGCTCAATTATGTTGCCCAAAAATGTTGTAGTATTTTGTGTAGTTGGCAAAGTTTTGAAATTGAAAGTACTATGTATAAGTCTTCACTATTAAAAATGCTTATAAATACATTTCTCTCATGGGTAACATGCATTAAAAAATTTGTATGTGTTTTTGTGGTGTTGAAGGGCACCAGTGGCTGTTGGCACA